CTGGTCCTGTTCCAGGAGCCTGGTTCACTCTCTCCTGCTCCTCTTCTGGCCGGCCCTGTGGCCCAGTGTCACCAGTTGCCAGTTTTTAGGAATTTCCCCCTTACACAAAGGAGCTTCAGAAAGTCTGTAGAGAGTGGAATTGAAATTATTTTGAAATCCATGCAGATAAGTGAAAAGTGTGCATTATGAAAAATCTATGCATGGATCTCAAATCCTTTGTTTTGCACCAGAACAAGCTTAATTACTTCCTTTCAGAAACTTTTTGAAGTAGCCTCGTATGTTTAAATCTGTCAGGTCTCAAGAGCTGCCTTCCTGTGTTGCCTCCTAGAAACTTCTAGAAACTTCACCTGTCAGCCTGAATAGTCACCTTTCTGCCTCACATTACAGGGACTGGAGAGAGCAGGGGTTGTGTGATTCTGCTCTGCTAACTCCCAACAGGATGGACTGTCCCGAGAGCCCAGGCCCATCCCTGCCCTGCAGCCCGGCAGGTGTCTATGGGGGAAATGGGGTCCATCCAAGCCGGCCTCATTAGCAGAGGCCGCCGGGTGGTGGCAGGTGCCCTGGGAGGGAAGTGTGTCTGAGCAGATTGGAGGCCCTCACTGGCTGGCCACCATGTGGTGAACGAGCCAGAGGCACCAAACACTAGGACAGTGCGTGTCTGCCACACGGCAGTAGGGCTGGGTAACGTGCAACCAGCAGGCCGGGGAGCCACGCCCAGCCAGTGGAGGGAGGCAACTTCATGGTGCTCTCGGTGCGTGGGAGGTGAGCCTGCTGGACCGGCCACGTGCCCTCTGGGTAGCCACACACTGGGGTGCCGTGGCCTGGGAAACGGGGCAGGTACACTGGGCTTCACAAGGCCAGCGCCCGCCCCACTGTGTGGGGAAGGCTGCAGGGGCGGAGGCCCGGGAGCAGTTTCCACTGGAACCAGACCACCTCATCAGCTGCCCTGGGGTCAGGCTCAGGTACCAAGGACAGGTGACCGTGCTGCGCGCCCTCCCCCTCGGCGTGGGACCATACCCGCCTTTCCCTTTCTCACTCAGCCGTGCTGTCCCCACGGAGCTGTTCCCAGTTGGAAAATTCTCACGTGGAATTGTTAGCTTTTTATCTGGAAATGACTTCCTTTCTTTCCGAAGGAGACTCATTCACCGATACCCAAGCCCAACTCAAGGCGTTAGGACAAAACAGATTCCCCCTTTTCCCTAGACAGCTCTCGGCTGATCCAGTAGCACCGAGCCAAGAGCAGACACCTGAAACCATGCTGGTGGCCACAGGGCCTTGGCTCTGGGCGTGAGGAAGGGGCCACGCGTGTGTGAAGGGAACAGCTGAGGCCCTGTAGGGGCCCCTGTGCTCAGGAAGAAGGGAATGTTGGAGACCGCAGTGCACTGTGCCTTCTGAGAAGTGGCGGTCTGGGGAGACAGCAGACAATACACACACACACACACACACACACGCTAATTCCAAGCTGGTCCAGGCTGCATGGGCACCAGGATGCGGTACTGGCTTGGAGGGTGGCTGGACCAGGAACACTCTCCGCTGCCCAGAGTGGACAGCATGAGCCAGGCAGAGGGACCCTTGGCCCCAGTGCCCCAGCACTGTGGTGACCATATGTTGTGCTTCGCCTGACACAGACCTGGCTCAGCCTGGTTGTCCTGGCACCATGGGGAACAGCACTTCTGTGCCCTCCCATAAGAGATCCGGTTTGGGAAGCAGATGGTCGCTGAGCCTACTCACCTTCTCATCCCCAAGGTGCAGGACGCAGGCCAGGGACTAAGCTGAGCCGCAGGGGGCTGCACTGTCTGGGGGCTTGGACTCAGTTCACCTGCCAGCCCAGCCGCTTACGATGCACAGGCGCAGGGTGTAGACAGGCGACTTCCTGCTTCCCCATGGGTAGATGGGAGGGAGGGCATATCCAGCTTTCTAAGCAGGGAGAAGTGGAGCGTCCCTAATCCAAAAGAAGTGCCAAATGCTGTGACATCTGTAACTTTTAGAGCACCCTCCACTGACATGGCGCCCAACAGTAAGCTGCATTCCGATAAAAAGGAAGTTCAGGATCGTGGAGCATCTTGGATTGCAGCTTAGGGACGCTCCACCAGCAAAGTCCATGCAGAGTTCAGCCAAGCTCAGAACAACTGAACCCCTTCTTTCCCAGCATTCCTGGTAAATGGTTCTCACCCCGCATGAGGGTTCAGTGAGACACAGGCTGAAGGGACTCTAGACAGTTGCGGGTGCTTAGCACCTGCTCCGTCCGTGTTCCTATGAGCAGTCCCGGCTCCACTGAACCTGGCACTGGGGAGAGGGGGGGAAGAACTCACAGCTAATCACAGCGCGCTCCTGTTCTTGTGTATCCAGGCAAGCTGTGTCTAGCGCCTCTCATCTGGGGCCCAGGAATGTAACGAGCCCAGTGCATTTGCCCTGCAGAAAGTCCAAAGCCTGGACTCCAGCAGGACCCTCTGAGCCTCGGTGGTGACTGGGCCCCAGGTCAGCTCCACGTTCTGCCGCAGCCTGGCTCAGACAGGGTGAGAGAGGCCCGGGGGTCTGAAGAGAGAAATGTGCCCGACTGCGACTCCAAGCCGAGCCAAACCATCCTGGTTTACCAAGCAATTCTAGAAAAAATAATTAGTCCAAGATGTGAGCCGGACTAGAATTGCTTCCTTTGTGCCGGCACTGGAAGCCGCCTTCAGGGGCACAATGTTGGTTTTATTCTACATGGATGTTTTGGCTTGGTTCGGGGCCGCAGTGGCTCTGCAGAACTCAGGGAAACCTGGCAAGGGCCTGAGCTGCCGGCACTGCAGAGCCAACCTTGACCTTCCAGAGAGGTCTGTTTGTGGAACAGCTTGGCGTCTCTGCAGATTCCTGACCATGTCACTTGCCACCCCGGCCCCGGCCTAGACCGGGGGCGTGTAGGAGCCGTGTGTGTCTGAGCAGGGTGAATTCAGGAGAATCACCACACTCAACCCCAGTGCTTGGTTCTGGCTCCAGTCGAAGGTGGGGCACAGTGAGGGGAAGGATTTGGGGTTCAAGGTGGGCAGAGTCATGGCCAGCCCTCGCTGATCTCTGTCCCACCATTCCCTGGACTCCAGGGAGTAGGTGGGGCTTAGAGAGTGCTGGGGAAATGGCACTGCAGAGCAAGCCTGGGGCTGTGTGCACTTCCTGCACCCCTTCCAGCCCTGGGGCCCAGGCCTGCACCCAGTTCCCTCTGTGTGGGTGCACAGGGGCTCGCCCAGCTGGGGACAGAGGCGTGCGGCTGTCTCGCACGCCCCGGGACCCAGGCCCCACTTGCCAACCTTGAGTCTCGCTCCAGGCCCCTGCCTGCCTCGAGGAAGAACAGAGCCTGCTTTGAGCTGGAAATTGGAGGCGTTTCCTGTTCCATGTTGTTGAGACGCTGCTGCTTACGGGGCTGTAATCCCAATAAATCATAGGCTTGCTGAGTGGGGCACGGCTTGTGTGTTTTGTTTTGGTTTTTTCTTCCTCACCTCCCTCCACCCCCGTCCCAGACTGAAGGGACCTCTTAAAACCAAGGCCTTAAGCGTATTCGCCTTCATTTTTTAAAGGAGGGAAAAATGGCTTTTGCAAGCCTGGTCCTGTGGAGGGGCTGTATGAGACCCTTGGCCCGACACCATCAGGGCCACCTAGGCAATGAAAGGGAGCAAGGAAGAGAAACGGAATGACAGCCACTGGGTCTGGCATCCCTATCTCTGCACAGCCAGTTGTGCCACCCTGAGTGCGGCCCATCCCCATCTCACAGTCCCTCCTCCAGCCACACAAGGAGTGGGTCAGATTTGCCAAGCTCTTCATGTAGAAGCCAGGTTTCACCGGTGGATTCCACGGCCCCTCCCTCCTTGATAAGAGTTGCTCATGTCTGGGACGCGTGCTTCCAGAAAGTTGATGACCCTTTGATCTGTTTGCCCGTGCATGCACTGTTATTCAGGTCGGGCACAGACATCAGTGGGGGTGGGGTGGGGCGTGCTCGAGTGGCTGGTTCCCCCCGCATTCGAGACCCACAGCCCCTGGATCTCTGTGCTCCCCCGTGCAAGTCTGCAGTGCCAAGGCCAAGAGCCTGCGCTGCCAGGAAAGTTTCCAGCTTGCACTCCACATAGTGGTGGCGTTTGTTTGCTCTGTTTTATGAGCTGGGCTGCAGTGGGTGGTGGGCAGTCGCTGGCAGGCCGGTGCAAGCCTTGCATGTTTATACTCGCTGCCGGGGGCGGGGGGAGGGGAGGCAGGGAGCCGGCTGGACTTGACCAAGGCTGCAGCTGAGGCATCTCATGGGGCCAGATTCCTGCAGCCTTTTCTGCTGTTAGTGTTTTCTCTCTCAACAGCTACTAAACTAGTAATAATCGTTTATGTTTATGGGGAATGTAAAGCGCTCTGTGTACATGCTCCAGCTGTCTTGGAAGGCGGTTCTGTACTTGATACCCATTTTGCTGATGGAGCAGCTGAGGCTGGGACAGGAGAGAATCACACCATTTAACCTCTTCCATAGTAGGCAAACAGCCCCAAGAGGGCTACAGAGCTCGTTCAGCTGTACGGAAGAAACCAGGATGCTGCAGGGGACGGGGTCCAGGAGCGTGATGCAAACCGATCACCGCTCTTCACCGCCAGGGCGCATTCCCAGCCCCTCGCCCACAGCTGCCCGCCAGCCCCTGAGCAGTGTTGCTCCCACGGCATCTGCTAAGGACTAAGGCAGTGGTCCTCAAAGTGGTGCTCCAGGGACACCTGGGGTCCCAGAGACCCGCTCCGGGAGCCCACAGGATCAAAGCCGTTGTCCTAATAAGACATTGTTTGCCTGTGCACTCTCATTTTCTTGCAAGTGTCCAGGGGAGTTTCCCAGGGGCCACGTGACGTGCTCATGTCCTCACCGCGGCAGCGCATGGGTTGTGAGTGGGCATATTCATGTGTGCTGACATTTGCTCAGTTTCCACCGCGGGCACAGTCAGTAGCCATAGAGAAAGCACACAGGCCGAAGCTCGCTGAGGTTCAAGATCATTTTTAAGTGTACAAAAAATTTTTTTGAGAACCGTTCGGAGCTATGAGACTCAGCCATAGGGAAATTCAGCAAGCAGAGGGTTTCCTCCGCCTGGATCCAGCCTGCAGACGTCTGCACCGTGGCATGGCCGTGAGTGGAAGGCAAGGCGGGAAGCAGGACTGGCCTTCTTCCTTGGGAGGGAGCAGAGCCGCAGGCTCCCAGGAATAGCGCATACCTTGCCCCTCGAAGCCCTGTGACCCTGGGGTTACAGCCACGGCCCCTGCGGGTGGGAGTTTTTATAGGGATTTTCCAGAACGCCCAGCAGGGCAGGCGGGCTCTTCTCGGCATGCCCGATGGACTGGAGGAAATTGCCAGAAAGGAAGCGGAGCCTGGACAGTGCAGGCTGGGCGTGCAGGGGACGTTACAGAGAGGCCCTGGGAACTGCTTATCATTCAACTTCCCCCAGACCCCAGGCCAGGGAGGGGGCTGGGCCAAGGGGAAAGGCCTGAAGCGGCCCCTCTGGGGACAGGCCCAGCCTTGTGTGCGGCCACGGGTCACACTCGAGAGTCAGAGGAGCTGGGTTTCTCTGTGTTGAGAGCGGTGATCCGGTGATCCGTATCCAGTTCAGCGATCGGAAGCCACTGAAGGTATTCCAAGCAGGAAGGGATTTAATGCAGGGAATTGGGCACTAACAGAAAAACTGGAGGAGCTGCTAGGCTGAGCCTCCAGGGGTGACCCCAAGAACAAGCCAAGCTGCCCCCAGAGCTGTGGGCTGGAGCAGATAACCCTGGGGCTGCGATTCAGGGTTGGAGCTGGAATTGGGAAGTCTTTGCTGTTGCTTTCACCATCACCGCTCCTGCCTCTGAAGCCCCCCAGCAAGGGGGAGAATTGGACACTGGAATGTTCTCGTGGGGGAGGGGGAGAAAGACCTCATAGCTTCACGACCTGGTTTGCTATGATAACAAACAGGATACCCAGGTGACCTCTGCCTCAGTTCTTAATGGCGGAGTTGAATTTGTGTCCAGAACCCCAGCTGCAAAGGATTCTGGGAAATGTAATATTTTGCCTTTCACATCACCAGCTAGGTTGGTGGCGTGGAAGTGGAATGAGCTGGTGCCCCGCAGAGGCCCGGGTTAGCGAGCTTGCACTTTCTCCTGTGCTGAGCTGTCAGAAGTGTGAGGCGGGAGAATGAAGATGCCATCTGATTAGACTTCCTGATTTCCCAGACTCCTCTGGTGCATGGTGGGGAAGGGGACGCCTGCTTAGAGGTTAGCAGCCACTCTTGGCACTCCGTCTCGGCTTTTGGCCACAGCGGGGAAGAATGGCCGGCAAACTCCTGATCCCCCGTCTATTCATACCTCAATTTCCAAAGCTGAACGTTTAAATAGAGCCTCCTGTGTGGATCAGAGGGCAGGCGCGCAGTGGTTCTCAGAGCCTGTCTTCCCGCCGGGTCACGTAAGAACTGGAAAACTGAAAAATATTGGGGGGAATTCAAGCTGTCACTCGTAATCGAGGGAGACCTAACACACAGCCCGAATTCATGAATGAGTTCTTGTTCCTTCCCGGGCTACCCAACTTCCCCCAGAAAGCCCGGGCGTCCCCTGTCGGTGAGTCAGCCCCGTACCCTCGGAAATCCCACGTTCTTTTCTGGGCAGAGATACTACACGGCCCCACTGAAGGTTCCGAGTGCCTGTACGTACACTTAGTCATTCAGCAAATGCTTATCGAGGACTTACTGTGTCAGGCCCCGGGCCGGGCCTGGTTTTGAAGAATACAGAGGTGTTCTTTTTGTTTGTTTTGGAGAGAGGGAGTCTGGAAGACTTCTGGGAGGAGGTGGCACTGGCTTTGATCCTTGATGGGTGAATAGGATCTTGGTAGGCAGTGGGGAGAGCTGGTCGCTGCTTTCGTGAGCAGATGGGAGCAGGTGGGGTGTGTGCGTAGCCTGGAGCGTCCTGGTGCCAGGAGGTAGGCAGGGCGGGGCTGGGATGGGGTGGGATTCGAGGCATCCCCGAGGCCCGGGCTGGCGAGACCTGTGTCCCCCACCCCCTTCCACCCCTCCTCAGAGCCATTGGGACGCTCAGTGACCCAGCTAGGTGACTGCAACCCAGTGACACAGCCAGACCACCAGAGTCACCTTCCAGGAGAACCACCACCTCCGAGGTCACAGCTATCTGGGGTCCTGCTTCTGTCTGAAATCAAAGCGGCCTTGGCCCTCGAGGTGAGGGACTTGTCCCTTTGAAGATGGCCCAAGCTGAGGCAGGCTCCAGCCATTGCCTGTGGCTGGGTCACAGCATCTCTGTCCTGGTTGGCCTTCTTCGCTGCCTGTCAAGGAGACAGCCGGTGTGCCCAGTGCTCCCAGGGAGCGGGGTGTGTCTGGCCGCCTGCCCCTGGCCTGGTGCCTGCTCTCCGGCTGGCTTTAAAAGGCAGGACAGAGGGTGGCAAGGCTGAGAGGCGGGGCCGCGGGCCAGAGCCTGTTGTAGGCTGGCTCTTGGGCTGTCATCAGAGAAAACAGCCCGAGAGGCCCAGTTCCGGGGCTGCCTTGTCCCTTGGCCGTGGGGGCTGGCTGGCCCCTCCAAAACCGTGAGAGCTGTTGCACTGCGAAGGGCTCTCCCCAGGGCTCTTGCCAACAGACTTTCTCAGAATGGCCGAGAACAAGAGGAACCTTCCCTCCAGAGCGAGGGGCCCCGCCCCCGCCCCCGCCCCCACCCCCACCCCACCCTCTTCCCCCAAAGCCGGCCCGGTGGAATCAGAGCCAAGTGGGAGGAGGGGCAAGGCTCAGCTGGGGGAGAGGGCGGTCCCGAGCGGCCGTATAAGGCCCTGGGCACTTGTCACAGTCCGTGTGAATGGCGCCCCCTGGTGGCCCATAGGGTTGGCAACCCAGAGACCTTGCTGGACATCAGCTTCCAATCCTGGCTGCTCCACACAGGTCCTCTGTGCCACAGGGACCCCAGGGACCAGGGCTCCCTGAGCACCAGGCTGGGGGCAGTTGTGGCCAGGCACAGGACGTTGTAGGGCTCACCTTCACCCAGGCCCTGGTGCGGAAGGAATGACTGTCGGTGCACATAAATGACAACCCTGAGAATTAAGGACACATGTGTCACATGTGAAGTGACTCAGGGTGTGCCTCTGAGGTGGCGACGCTGGGTTGGAGCCTGGGTCTGTTCAACTTTTTGCTGTGCACCCCCCTAGGGGGTCTCTGGCCTGTGCAGGAAGGACCATCTGGAAACCCCAATGCCCATGCTGTGTACCCTGCCCCATGAGTGGCTGAGGGCCATTGGTCCCACTACTGCCCAGGACGGGACTTGCTTGTGCCCCTGACCACGATGCTGTGGGCCGAGGGACGGGTTCTCCGCCGCCAGACCTCCCAGCTGCTGCTGTGCCGCCAGTGCCCCCACACACACCTGTGTCCCCAAGGGTCCCCTCCACCATTCCAGGTGCACCCTGCCCACGACCTGACCTCTCTCTCTGCCTCGCAGGCCCTTCATGCTGCTGCCGCCGCTGATGGAATGGATGCGCGTGGCCATCACCTACGCCGAGCACCGCCGCAGCCTCACTGTGGACAGTGGTGACATCCGGCAGGCCGCCCGGCTGCTGCTGCCTGGCCTGGACTGCGAGCCCCGGCAGCTCAAGTATGGAACTGGGGAGGGAGGAGGACCCCGCAGCCCCTCTCTGCTCCCTCCTGGTAGCTGGTTGGGGGATGCTCAGAGTCCAGGGGCCGCACGGCGTGCACGCCGCTCCAAGGGCACCTGCTGCATCTGCCCAACGGTGCTGGGAGCCATCGCACGGGGGGTCCTGGGCAGGAACGCTCACCATGGTCTGACTCTCTGAGATACATGGAGGGGTCGGGGTAGAAGTGCACCCTCTCCTTCCTCTCTTCCTGCCATGGCCACCAGCTTCTTGAGCACTTCCTGGGCGCGGACCCCATGCCGAGTCTCTGTGCACGATCTTAGTCTTGGCCACAGCCTGGCAGAGGATGCGGCTACGGTGTCCACATTGCAGATGAGGAAGCAGAGAGCCAGGGAGGAGCAGCGGCCTCCCCACAGACACGCAGCCGGCAGCTCGGCCGAGTCCCGGTTGGAGCACAGGACTGTGTGGCTCCCGCGCCTCTGCCCCAGGTTTCCTTCCCAAAGTGCCTGTCTTGGGTTGGATGAGTCCTCTGCAGATGCTATTCTCGAGAGGGTCCCCTCTGGCCGTCCTTGGCCTCGAAGACCCTTGCACCTTTTTACTTTTTAACCCTCTGGCCAAATCCCAGTTATGGCTTCCTTTGTCTTCATGGCAACCACCTGACCCTGGTCTGAAGATGAACTCCCTACACTCTGGCCCAACCAAGGCTCCAGACCGCATCGGACATGGACATGGACATGCCTATCGGACATGGGTTGTCTACCCTGTGTCACCGCAGGTTGAGCCGCGACTTGCCTTGGTTAGGTTGAGTGGGTTGCCCGTGGGATCCCAGGCCATGCCCTGCCATCTCCGGTCCTCCCCAGGAAGCCTCGAGGAAAGAGGCAAAGCCAAAAAGCTAGAACTTGGCCACAGTGACCGTCTCACGGGCTGAGGTGCAGCCTGCTCTGTGCATAAGGGACAGAGCCAAGGGCTAGAGCACAAGCCCAGGCGGGCGCCTCCCCCTCGGGGAAATCCCCCAGCGGATGCTTCAGCTGTGACTTTGATTCCTGGCAGCGGGCGGCTCCCGAGAGCCGAGCACCCTCCTTCCAGGTTTCTAGAAACATGGAAGTATGGGATACAGCGTGGTGCAGGCCATGCACGGCTGAGCCGATCATACTGCCCAGTCCTGGCCCAGTGTCACCTGTCCTGGCAGGAGGGGCCGGCAGGGTCCCGGCAGGAGGGGCCCACCCACACAGCCCCCTCGAGCCCTGCCTTGGTCTCTCCTGCAGGCCTGAATGCTGTTTCAGCTCATTCCGGAGGCTGGATGCCCGGGCGGCGACCGAGAAATTCAGCCAGGATCTGGGCTTCCGCATGCTCAGCTGTGGGCGGACGGATCTGATCACCCAGGCCATCGAGGCTCTGGGCCCCGATGGCGTGAACACCATGGACGACCAGGTAATTAATTCCCAGGGCTGGGCGACCAGAGTCGGGGTGGAGGCACAGCCCCACCGTGCTAACCCAGAGACTGGCTGTGCTGGTGCAGGCCCAGGCAAAGAGTCCCAGGGAGCAGGCTGATAGATGGCCCTGGATCAGAATCACCAACACGTGCAGGAGAGCGGGGCAGGTACCCGCTCTGTGCCCGGCCCACAGAAGCCCTTGCCTTCCTGGAGTGAACATTCCAGAGAGCAGACTGATAATACAAAACATATCGGGCCAGCATTGTGGCATAGCGGGCTAAGCACCCGTCTGCTCCACTCCTGATCCAGCTCCCTGCTAATGCACCTGGGAAAGCAGTGAACCGCCCAAGCTCCTGGGCCCCTGCACCCACATGGGGCACCCGGGAGAGGCTCCTGGCTTCAGCCTGGCCCAGACCCAGCTGTTCTGGTCATTCAGGGAGTGAACCACCAGATAAAGCACTATTCTCTCTCTCTCTCTCTTTCTCTCTTCATTCTGTCTCTCTCTGTAAATGCCTTTCAAATAAATATTAAAAAAGAAACAAGCACAAAATAGAATGTATGTTAGGGAAAATGCTAAGGAGTAAAATGGAGCATGAATGGGATAGAATTTGCCATTTTACGTGGAATTTAGCTGGAGTTTCTGTGTTTGACTTGTTTTTTGTTTTTGCCGCAAATAGCTGACATCTCGCTTGGGGTGGGTTCCCAGTGCTTCCTGGATTAATTCATTTAGTCCTGAGGACAGCCGCCCTGTGATGCCATCACTGCTGTTCCCCCATTTTACAGATGGGGAAGCTGAGGTTGCTTTCCCGAAAGTCGTCCGACTAGGCAGGGGCAGAGCTGGGCTTGGAAGATGCAGCCTCTTGGCCGCATGGGATTCCCATTTGCTCACTCGAGGGCCTTTCGCTTGCAAGCCTGGCAAGCCCACACAGAGGCCTGGGGGAAGCACGGTGAGAGCTGGCGGGTTGAGCCGCCTTCTCAGACAACCTGACTGGGCCGTGCGTGGCAGGGAGGCCTTCCTGCTGGACGGCTTTGACTTGAGCCTGAGCGGAGGGCAGGGCAGGGATGGAGCAGAGAGGAGTGGGGAAGGCATCCCGGGAAAAGAGACAGAGGATGGGGTGGGGGAGGGGCTTGCTGATAGAGGGGGGCGGTTGGGAGGTGGCCCGGCTGGGCGTGAGGCCTCTGTCAGCACAGGTTCTGGGGCTTTGCAGCTCTTCTGGGAGGGTCACCTTCCTCCAGTAGCTCAGCATGGATGTCCACGGACTTCAACCTCAGACAGACCTGGGGTGGAGCCACCCGTGACAGCCGTGCCCTCCTCATCTCTAGGAGAGGGAGGCAGCCTCCTGAGCTGCCCCGCCCCCGCCCAGGGAGGGACCAGGGCTCAGCTCTCAGGCCCCCCAACTGCTCAAGCTTGGTGCACCCTCTTGGGGGCGCCTCTAAGCATGGGCTTCACAGTTCATGTCCTCCCAAGTTCCTGTCCAAGTGCTACCTCTTGTTGTGTGAGCTTGGGCAGTCATTTCCCCTTGTCTTCTCTGCACCTGGAAATAAATAAAGGGGAACCTCCTTAAAGGAACAGACAGGTAGATAAAGGGATAATGCACACAAACCCCTTTAGCGCCATAGTTTCCATGCCTGGGCCTGGAATGGGTTAATACAGGCAGAGAGGACACTGCTGTGGTGAGTGCATTGTTATTTTATTCAGTGAACTATTTTTTTTAAAGTTTTATTTATTTATTTGAAAGAGTTGCAGAGCAAGAGAGAGACAGAGAAAGGTCTTGTACCCATTGGCTCACTCCCCAGATGGCTGCAACAGCCAGGGCTGGGCCAGGCCAAAACCAGGAGCTTTATCCAGGTCTCCCATGTGGGAGTAGGGGCCCAAGCACTTGGACCATCTTCCGCTGCTTTCCCAGGCCATTAGCAGGGAGCTGGATCAGAGGTGGAGCAGCTGGGACACTCTGACCAGCACCCAAATGGGATGCCAGCATCACAGGTGGTAGCGTTACCTGCTCTGCCACAGCACCGGCCCCTCCAGGGACCCCTTCATCAAAGCAGCCATCCTGTGTACCCAGCACTTCAAACACATTAAATTAAGGCAGCCCTGTGAGATCAGTGACGTTTGCTGTTTTAAGACGCAGACATGGAGGCACAGGGAGGGACAGGAACTTGCACAAAGCTGACAGCTCCCCGTGGTGGCCTTTGCAACCGTCTTTCCCTGGCTAGTGTCCTGCAGTGCCAGCCACCCACCCTTCTCATGCGTCTGTCCAGCAGGCCCAGGATAGCTCCTGCAGGAAGCCAGCAGCATGGGTGCGGGCCGAGCCTGAGGGATGGCCAAGCCTGAGGGATGGCCGAGCCTGTGGGATGGCCGAGCTGTGGGATGGCTGAGCTGTGGGATGGTCGAGCCTGTGGGATGGCCGAGCCTGAGGGACGGCCAAGCTTGAGGGATGGCTGAGACTGTGGGACGGCCGAGCCTGTGGGATATGAGCAGCTGTGCTCTCTTTGCGGACAGTTTAACACCTGCCTTTGCTCACACAGGGGATGACGCCTCTGATGTACGCCTGTGCAGCCGGGGATGAAGCCATGGTACAGATGCTGATTGATGCTGGGGCAAACTTGGACATCCAGGTGAGCAA